CTTAACTCATGAGACATAAAGGCAAGCATAAACTTAGCATGCTTCCCTGTTGGGTGCTGTAAACGCTTCTGTGCTTTACCTTACACAGGATGTAGGAGGGTGCCCAATAAAAAAAAAAAGAAAAGATCTAGTGGTAGCACATGATTTCCTAGAGCAGCTCGAACATGGGCTGATAAGCAACCCAACAACAAACAACCCAAATCCCAGTGCCGAATGTAGTATTCTCGCCACTTTCATGACAAAAACCTGCAGAAAGATCCCTCGACCACATTGAAAGAATACACCAGGACTGGTTTAACGTAAATGCTGCCTTAACTGACTGGCAGAACAACCCTTAGTCTAGGAACAAAGCTGATAATTTCTGCAAGAAGAAATTGGCGGCCCAGCGTGAACTCTGCAAACTAAAGAACGATTGGTTTAAAATTAAAGCATGTGAAATGCAAAAAATTGCAGATCAACACAAGATGCGTGAATTATTCAATTTCACTAAAAAATTTTATTTGCCAATCACTCATGGCACAGCCCTCTTTCACTCAACCGACGGTAACTATCTAATTAAAGACGAAGAAGGCATTCGTCAATGCTGGAATGAGCACTACCTTTTGCTGCTCAACCGAAACACAGATATGGATGTCCTGACTACCCAGCAGGTCCCTCAGCATCCAGAGCTGACCCATCTCAGCTATCCTCCATCCCTGAATGAGGTAGCTACTACCATCAAAGAGATGAAAAATAACAAAGCCTCAGGGCCTGATGGAATCCCAACCGAAGTGCATAAAGCAGGAGGACCTCTGCTTGCTATCTGTCTCCAGTTTCTCCTGGAGAATATATGGGAAAAGGAGGATGTCCCCCAAGCTCTTAAAACGCCTCCATCGTCAATATTTATAAAAACAAGGGCGACCTGTCAGACTGTGGCAACTATCATTGGATCTCGCTGCTGTTCATAGCTAGCAAGATTGTAGCCCGAGTCCTCCAAAACAGATGTCTTCCTCAGGTGGAAAACTTCCTCCCAGAATCACAATGTGGCTGTAGACCATCACGTGGCACCACTGACACGATCTTTGCTGCCCGCCAGATACAGGAAAAGTGCAGAAAACAGCGTCGTGACCTGTACATGGCCTTCTTCGACCTAACCAATGCCTTCGGTTTGGTCAACAGGGAAACCCTCAGCCGTTTTGGATGCCCACTAAAATTCATCGCCATTGTGAGGCAATTCCACATTGGCATGAACGACTGTGTCCTGCACAATGGCACCCAGTCTGAGTTCTTCCCCATCCAAACGGGGGTAAAACGAGGAAGTCCACTAGCACAAACTCTCTTTTCCATTTTCTTGGCTGAATTCCTTACTCGTGCTAGTGCCAGTTTAGCCGGCAGGGTGGATATCGAATACCCCATGAAGGATCTTTTCAACATAGGATGACTCTAGGCAGGAACAAAGGTGTCGGCAGCTTCCATTACTTTACTTCAGTTTGCAGACGACCTCACCCTTGTCAATCACACTGAATGCAACCTACAGGAGATCCTGGACTCCTATGCAGATGCTGAGGCACACCTCCAACACTCATTCAGTTCAACGGAACTACTAAAGTTACTCTAATGTTACCCACATTTAGTATCTCGGCTCCCATCTGTCCACCACCGCAGACAGAGTTGGAGAGATTCAACTTCACATCAGATGTGCATCTCAAGCCTTTGGCAGATTCCGTACCCGTGCCTTCTGCTGTAGGGAGCTGAAATTATCTACAATGTTGCATGTACAGTATATCAAGCAGTGGTCCTCCCCACCCTGCTATATGACAGCGAGACATGGGTCACATACAGAAGGCACCTCAATGCACTTGAAAACTTTCACCAACATAGTATACGTTCCATCCTCCGAGTTCGCTGGGAAGACAAGAGAACAAATCCTAGCATTCTTGCTGACACCAACTATAGTAGCATCGAGGCTACCATTATCCATGAACAACTACGTTGGACTAGCCATTTTACCTGCATGGACGACAGCAGACTCTCAAAGCTGCTACTTTACAGTCACCTAAAGAATAGTAAATGTAACGCTGGCCGGCAACTGAAAAGATATAAGGATAGCCTTAAGACAAACCTAAAAAAGTGCCAAATCTACCCCCTCACCTGGGAGACGATTACTCCATACCGTAACGCTTGGAGGAGCACCACACAAGGTGTCAATACTTTCGAGTTAGCCCGACTGCAAACCGAGACAGACAAGCGCCAAAGCCGGAAAGATGCTGCCGCTGCACCTCCAGCACTAGATGCAGCCATCCATATGTGCAACATCTGTGAACAACTATGCCGGTCCCGTATCGGCCTCTTTATGCACCTTAAAGCTCACCAACGAAGGTGACATCTTTAATAACTCATATCATTGTCTCCTAGCTGGATGATCGTCATACTCGATTCCGTGTGTGTTTATACCCTGTGTTGTGAGAGTATATTGTGACCTGTGTTGTGGCCTGTGATGTGACCAATTGTGTGAGTCTACTTTGTGAGTCTGTTCTGTGAACTTGTGTTGTGAGCCTGTGTTATGAGCCTGTATTGTGGACTGTGTTGTGAGTCTGTGTTGTGGCCTTTTTGGTGAGCCTCTTCTGTGAATCTCTGTTGCGAGCCTGTGTTGTGAGCCTGTATTGTGGCCTGTGTTATAGCCTGAGTTGTGAGCTTGTATTGTAGCCTGTGTTGTGAGTCTGTGTTGTGGCCTTTTTGGTGAGCCTCTTCTGTGAATCTCTGTTGTGAGCCTGTGTTATGAGCCTGTATTGTGGACTGTGTTGTTAACCTATGTTGTGAGCTTGTATTATGGCCTGTGTTGTGAGTCTGTGTTGTGGCCTTTTTGGTGAGCCTCTTCTGTGAATCTCTGTTGCGAGCCTGTGTTGTGAGCCTGTATTGTGGCCTGTGTTGTAAGCCTATGTTATGGCCTGTGTTGTGGACTGTGTTATGGACTGTGCTGTCAGCCTGTATTGTGTCCTAAGTTGCGAGTCTGTATTGTGGCCTGTCTTGTGAGCCTGTGTTGTGAGCCTGTGTTGTAAGCCTGTGTTGAGAGCCTGTTTTGTGGACTGTGTTGTGAACTGTGTTGTGAGCCTGTATTGTGAGCCTGTATTGTGAGCCTGTGTTGTGAGCCTGTATTGTGAGCCTGTATTGTGAGCCTGTGTTGTGAGCCTGTATTGTGGTCTGTGTTGTGAACCAGTGTTGTGAGCCTGTAATGAGGCCTGCGTTGTGGTCTGTGGTGTGAGCCTGTATTGTTGTCTGTGTTGTGGACTGTCTTATTGACTGTGTTGTGACCCTGCATGGTTGACTGTGTTGTAAGACTGTGTTGAGAGCTTGTATTGTGGCCTGCAGTGTGAATCTGTGTTGTAAGCCTATTTTGAGGCTGTTTTGTGAGCCTATGTTGTGGCCTGTATTGTGAGCCTATGCTGCGGCCTGTATTGTGAGCCTGTAATGTATCCCTATGTTGTGACCTGTGCTACGGCCTTTGTTGCGAGTCTGTGTTGTGGCCTTTGTTGCGGCCTGTATTGTGGCCTGTGTTGTGAGCCTTTGTTGTGGCCTGTGTTGCGACACTGTGTTGTGAGTCTGTGTTGTGAGTCTGTGTTGTGGGCTGTTGTTGACTGTTTTGTGACCCTGCATGGTGGACTGTATTGTGAGTCTGTGTTGTGAGCCTGTGTTGTGGACTGTGTTGTGACACTGTGTTGAGAGCCTGTATTGTGGCCTGTATTGTGAGCCTGTGTTGTGAGCCTGTTTTTATTATAGCCTGTGTTGTAATCCTGTGTTGTGGACTGTGTTGTAAGCCTGTTTTGAGGCTGTGTTGTGAGCCTGTGTTATGGCCTCTGTTATGAGCGTGTGCTGCGGCCTTTGTTGCAGAGTCTGTGTTGTGGCCTGTGTTGTGAGCCTGTGCTGCGGCCTTTGTTGCAGCCTGTGTGTGGCCAGTGTTGTGAGCCTGTGTTGTGAGCCTGTGTTGTGAGCCTGTGTAAGCCTGTGTTGTGACTTGTGCTGTGAGTCTGTCTTGTGAGCCTGTATTGTGGCCTTTGTTTGCAAGTCTGTGTTGTGGCTTTTGTTACGGCTTGTATTGTAACCTGTGTTGTGAGCCTTTGTGTGGCCTGTGTTGTGAGCCTTTATTGTGGCCTGTGTTGTGAGCCTGTGCTGCGGCCTGTGTTGTGAGCCTGTAATGTAAGCCTGTGTTGTGGCCTTTATTGTGGCCCTTTGTTGTGAACCTGTCATGTGCCTGGGGTGTGAGCTGTGTGAGCCTATATTGTGGCCTGTATTGTGAGCCTGTGTTGTGGCCTGTATTTTGAGCCTGTGTGTAGCCTGTGATGAGAGCCTGTGATGTGGCCTGTGTTGTGAGCCTGTGTGTGAGCCTGTGTGTGGCCTGTGTTGTGAGCCTGTGGTGTGGCCTGTGATGAGAGCCTGTGATGTGAGCCTGTGTTGTGAGCCTGTGTGGCCTGTGTGTTGTGAGCCTGTGTGTGGCCTGTGTTGTGAGCCTGTGTTGTGAGCCTGTATTGTGAGCCTGTGTGGCCTGTGATGTGAGCCAGTATTGTGGCCTGTATTTTGAACCTGTATTGTGGCCTGTATTGTGGCCTGTATTTTGAACCTGTATTGTGGCCTGTCTTGTGAACTGTAATGTTGTTTGTGTTGTGAACCTGTAATGTGGCCTGTGTTTGAACCTGTATTGGGAACCTGTATTGTGACCCTGTATTGTGGGACTGTGTTGTGAGCCTGTATTGTGGCCTGTGTTGTGAGACTGTATTGTGGCCTTCGTTGTGAACCTTTAATGTGGCTTGTGTTGTGAGCCTGTATTGTGACCTTCGTTGTGAACCTGTAATGTGGCCTGTGTTGTGAGCCTTTATTGTGACCTTCGTTGTGAACCTGTAATGTGGCTTTTGTTGCGAATCTGTGTTGCGGCCTGTGTTGCGGCCTGTATTGTGGCCTGTGTTGTGAGCCTGCATTATGGCTTTTGTTGCTAATCTGCGTTGTGGCCTGTGTTGCCGTCTGTATTGTCAGCCTGTAATGTGTGGCCTGTGTTGTGAACCTGTAATGTGAACCTGTAATGTGGCCTGTGTTGTGAGCCTGTGATGTGAGCCGGTATTGTTGCCTGTGTAGCCTGTGTTGAGCCTGTGTTGTGAGCCTGTAATTTGGCCTGTGTTGTGAGCCTGTGATGTGAGGCCTGTGTGGCCTGTGTTTAGCCTGTAATGTGGCCTGTGTTGTGAGCCTGTGATGTGAGCCGGTATTGTTGCCTGTATTGTGAGCCTGTGTTGTGTGAGCCTGTGTTGTGAACCTGTAATGTGGCCTGTGTTGTGAGGCCTGTGTTGTGAGCCTGTGTTGTGAGTCTGTGTGAGCCTGTGTTGGGAGCCTGTATTTTGGCCTGTGTTGTGAGCCTGTGCTGTGGCCTGTGTTGTAAGCCTGTAATGTGGCCTGTTGTGAGCCTGTGATGTGAGCCTGTGTTGTGAGTCTGTGTGTGACCTGTTTGTGAGCCTGTGTTGTGAGCCTGTGTTATGAGTCTGTGTTGTGAATCTGTATGGTGGCGTGTGATGTGAGCCTGTGTTGTGAGCCTGTGTTGAGAGTCTGTATTGTGAGTCTGTATGGTGGCGTGTATTGTGGCTTGTATTGTGAGCCTGTGTTGTGAGCCTCTGTTGTGAGTCTGTATTGCGGCCTGTATTGTGAGTCTGTATTTTGTCCTGTATTGTGAGCCTGTGTTGTGAGCCCGTGTTTTGAGCCTGTGTGCTGAGCCTGTCTACTGAGCTTGTGTTGTGAGCCTGTGTTCTGAACCTGTGTTGTGAGCCTGTGTTCTGAACCTGAATTGTGAGCCTTTGTTGTGAGTCTGTATTGCGGCCTGTATTTTGAGTCTGTATTTTGTCCTGTGTTTTGAGCCTGTGTTGTGAACACGTGTTTTGAGCCTGTGTGCTGAGCCTGTCTACTGAGCTTGTGTTCTGAGCCCTTGCTTTGAGCCGGTGTTCTGAGCCTGTGTTCTGAACCTGTGTTGTGAGCCTCTGTTGTGAGTCTGTATTGTGTCCTGTGTTGTGAACCAGTATTGTGGTTTGTGTTGTGAACCTGTGTTGTGAGCACGTGTTTTGAGCCAGTGTTCTGAGCCTGTGTTCTGAGACTGTATTGTGGCTTGTGTTGTGAACATGTTTTGAACCTGTTGTGATTGCAATTTGGGGGTGTTGTGAGTGTGTTGCAGATATTGTGATCGATATAAACAAGGAACGACTTATGATATTAAGGCTCTTTGATTAGTTCTAATTTTGCTCTCAATGTCCCAGCTCAACTTTTCTACTGCCACCTCCTTTTATGCATTTCTCAAGTACTTCTATTTTCGTTGCATTTCTAACAATGTCGTCGTCTTTCTGCTAGTCTTTTCCCACGTCTCGATATAGTCCTCCCCCCTACCCCTCCGTCCAGGGGCGGATCCAGGCAGGCTTTGGGGGGAGCTATTAGCCCCCGTATTTTTAGTATTTTTTTTTTACCAATATCATGGGCTTTTTGAGGCCATTTTGAAACCGTGCACTTGATATTAGGAGATATTATGAAGTCAATAGTAATTACTTTTTACTATACAAAAGCGCCTGAGTACGATACTGCATTAAAGGAAAAGTATTTGAATTTTCGGATGAAAAGAGCGGGTCCAGATCCCCAGGACCTCCCTCTGCCTTCGATATAGGCCTCGCCCCCGTCCAAAACACCATCCTTGTCCCCGTCCTACTTTGACATGTGACACATTTTACGAACCCATTTTATTTTCTTCTCAGTCTACGTCTCCTACATTTGTCTCCTTTCTACAATCATTATTAATAAACCTACAGAAACTTCCCAGCTTCTGTTGAAACATTTTGCTCACTAACTCCTTGCTTCCTCACTTCAACTACCTACCTACCTACCTACCTAAACCTTTCATTCTTAACGTGCCCCCATACAATACCTCCCTCCTTCTCTTTTATCTTCTACGCTTTCTTAGGCTCACTGTTAGAAAATATTTTGGCAAAGCTTCAACTGATGAGGTTCACATTTGGACCACATAATTTAGTGGTCCCGATGGTGTGCTTTTTGAGGTAAAAATGCCGATAATGGGTGTTTTTATGAATTATTACAGCGTTTGAACAACTAAGATCTATAACCGCGTAACAAGGTTAGTAATTACACTAGTCCAACAACAATTAACAATTATGAGAGATAGAACTCTCTGTTGCAAATTATATGAAATATGTTAAATGTCAACAGTTGTCTCGCTTTAGAAAATACACTACCTAACACTACACATCATGAGAGCCGACTCTCTTAAATTTTTTATCGTTGTTGGACTAACCTTGCTATCTAACCTTCCCATGCGCTTAAAGACCTCAGCTAGTGAAGTGCTGTAATCACATTATAACAACAACAAAAGAAACCGATGAAGGATGCCGTTTGGAGCTACAGATGACTCTAATGCGTGTTATCTATTGCGCCTTTACCAGGGCTCGTCGACCTTGATTGCGGACGACGGCATTATGTGCTGCGGCAAATAGGTTAGGTTAGGTTAGGTTAGGTTAGTGGACGCTACAGTCTAAATATCCAGGTAGAACAACTCCAGTTCCGTAGGCCGCACTCTTCAGTAGAACCATATCTTAACACTGCAGTTGGAGCTTACATTAGTATTATTGATAACAATGACAACAATAATATGAGGACCATAGAGATACTTCCCAAATAGCCTCTCTGTAATATATATATATATATATATATATATATATATATATATATATATATATATATATATATATATATATATATATATATATATATATATATATATATATATATATAATTTTGTTTTTGTGCTACTTTAATACATTTTGTGTCACATGATTCACGAACAAACTCTCAATAGGGTGTGGGTAAGTTACTGGCTCTTGATCTAATAAACCATCTGCTGGCGTTAGTTGTATGGAGTCCCGTGGTCATCAGTATAGTACACCAGCGGCTCTCAATGAATACTGAAATCCTGTTATGATTTATTAGGTGATCTACCCCGTGGTGACCAGCATAGTATATGATACAGTGCAACACTACGTAGAAATCTGCAGACAGAGTTAGACACATGACAGACATATTCGTACTCCTAGAAAAGTAAAAGTTACACTCAAATAGTTATTTTGGCAAAGGCAAGTAAATGATACGCACTACAGACGTATAAAATAAAAATGCATATTTCACAACTACAGTCATCGTTCTCGGGCATTGTGAGAGTGGCTATATCGCTGTCGTCCCCTCAGTATGTAATAAATGGCTACCTTATCGCTACACTTAAAGCTCATGGCTCCACACTAATCATATCGTCGGTCCCGTTCACATTAAGGGGTGTTCTTGTTGCCAGATTTCGAGCTATATGTTACGGAGGGGAGGTAGGACTGGTGGTAAAATCACGGAATATGACTTGTGTTGATACACCTATCCAGAATCGGCTGTCTAGTGAATGTGCCAACAGACAGACCAGCCAACCAGAAACCAGCTCAAAGAAAACCACTCACAATAACTAACCCAGGACACATCCCGAACACACTTCGATTTCCGTCCTTTAATTTCATTCCTCCACCTCTAATCTTCTTTCACCCCTTCTTTCTCTGCAACACACACAAAAATAACCAGCGTAAACCTCCATAACACTGACACAGAAATGATGTAGACCGGAGTGGCCCAACTCTTCTGGTGTTACGGGTCAACATGTTCATGGCCCGCACACAATGTTTTTATTATAAGATCATATAACCACAAAACTTTGACACAATATGGCGCCTTTAACGTTCACCTTACCTTTTTATTTACATTTAATTTAGTTTTATTCGGATTTTAATTTTTGCTATCAGTCAGAGTATAAGGATGAGTTATCATTTCCAGAGTGCGAAAATCAGAGAGGAATTAATTTAATATTTGAATGAGTTTTATTCTACTTTTAATGTTATCTCTTAATGACAGTACTGAGGGCGAGGTACAAGTGCTGGTGGTGGAAGGTCTGAGTCGAGTGCATTGTTGTCATCCAACCTGCTCTGGGTTTCTTATTTCACTTCTTCCATCACAAGGAAAGCACCTAAACAATTATATGTACTTCCAAATACTGAACACATGTTGAGGACAAAGTTTCGTAGTTTCAATAAACACGGACCAGAAACCAACTTCCAGAAATAATCACGACTCGCTTTTCTTAGTAATAGAAAAGTGTCAGGTTGGGCTCACACAACTCTAGCTGAAAATGTGATGGTTGTGTTTCAGTCTGCTTGAGATTCAGTTTTAATATGCCAAAGTCCAAAAGCCTTTCTTTATTCTCAGCAGAAATATTTTCAACTCGTTCTACAAAGGGTGGAAAGTGTAACGCGTTATTATGTACAAACAATTCTCGTCAAAAAGAAAAACAGGTAACACCATTCTTCTAGAGACACACTAAGATGTTTCTTTCGGAAATCTTCGATGTAACTCACCAGTGAGAGGTTCAGCACGTTCATGGGAGCAGCCAAGTCTGTCAGGATCACCAGGAACAGAAAAAAGTATATGTGTTGCCACTTTGCCCATTGTGAAAGAGAAATGCTTCAGAAATTTCCCTGTACTCGGCCACCTGATATTCGAGTGCAGTGCTGCATCATTAAATTCTACATTCACCACTTAGAAGCAAACAAAAATCCTATTTATGTGGGATTTGTTATATCTCCTCTTATAATGTTTACTATGTTGACAACAGTACCCATGACGCCCCTCCTCTTCATAATCTTCTAACGTAATGCTTCCTGGTGTGTAATCTAAATAACTGTAATACAATCCATTCCAGATTTTTTTTAGTAAATCGATTAATCCTATTACAGTGTCAGTCACTATTATAGCACCGTCAGACAGTCACAGTGTAGGAACACTTCTGGTGTGTATAGTAGGGGAGGTCTGTGGTAGGGGAGGTGTAGGGTAGGGGAGGTGTAGGGTAGGAGAGGTCTGTGGTAGGGGAGGTGTAGGGTAGGGGAGGTGTGTGGTAGGGGAGGTGTGTGGTAGGTGAGATGTGTGGTAGAGGAGGTGTGTGGTAGGGGAGGTGTAGGGTAGGGGAGGTGTGTGGTTGGAATGTGTGTGGTGGGGAGGTGTGGTAGGTGTGAGGAGGTAGGCGGGGAGGTGTGGTAGAGAGGTGTGAGGAGAGGTAGGGGAGGCGGTAGGGGAGGTGTGGGTAGGAGAGGGTAGGGGAGTGTGTGTTAGGCAGGTATGATGGGGAGGTGTGGGGAGGGGTATGTGGTAGGGGGAGGTGTGGGGGAGGTGGTGTTAGGGTAGGTATGTGTAGGGGGGAGGGGGGAGGTGTGGGGGAAGAGGTGTGTGTAGGGGAGGCAGGTATGTGTAGGGGGAGGTGTGTGGTAGGGGAGGTGTGTGTGGTGGGGAGGGTGTGTAGGGGAGGTGTGTGGGGGAGGTGTGTGTAGAGAGTGTGTAGTAGGGGAAAGGGCGGTAGGTGAGAGGGTGTAGGGGAGGTGTGGTAGGAGAGGTGTGGTGAGATGTGTGGTAGGGGAGGTGTGGTAGGGGAGGTGTATGGTAGGTGAGATGTGTGGTAGGAGGTGTGTAGGAGAGGTGTAGGTGATGTGGTAGAGATGTAGATGTGTGGCAGAGGTGTGTGTGTAGGAGATGTAGAAAGAAATGTGTGGGAAGGAGGGGGTAGGTGAGATGTGGCAGGGGGAGGTGGTGGGTATGTGGGTAGGGGGAGGTGGGTAGGGGTAGGCATGGTAGGGGAGGTGTGGTGGGAGGAGATAGGGGAGGTGTGTGGTAGGAGGTATGGTGAGATGTGGTAGGGGAGGTGTGGTAGGGGAGGTGTGTGGTAGGTGAGATGTGTGGTAGGGGAGGTGTGTGGTAGGAGAGGTGTGTGGTAGGTGAGATGTGTGGTAGGTGAGATGTGTGGAAGGGGAGGTGTATGGTAGGTGAGATGTGTGGTAGGGGAGGTGTGTGGTAGGGGAGATGTGTGGTAGGGGAGGTGTGTGGTAGGGGGAGATGTGTGATGGGGAGGTGTGTGGTAGGGGGCAGGAGGTGGTATGGGCGGGGTATAATAATAATAATAATAATAATAATAATAATAATAATAATAATAAACGGTTTATTGAAAGAGTATGGCCAGAAGACAGAAAATATACAGTTACATAATGGAAAAATATTATGCAGGTAACAAGAGTGATACAAATAAATTATATAATATAAAGGTGGGGGAGAAGGTCACACTGCAGGGTATTTTAACATAGAAACAGTGCAAAAATAGGATTAGCTAGGAGTGAACTCACTGGTTGACTACGAGTTGTTGATAATTTTTACAACTCGTAGTCAACCAGTATGTTCACTCCCAGCCAATCATATTTTTGCACTGATACTATGGTAGGGGAGATGTGTGGTAAAGTGCAGGGTGTGGTAGGGGGCAGGATGTGGTAGAGGGCAAGGTGTGGTAAGGGCAGGATTTGGTAGGACGCAGTGTAAGGTAGTAGACAGGGTGTGGTAGGAGGTAGGGTGTGGTAACGGACAGGGTGTGGTAGAGATAGGGTGTGGTTTGGTACAGGGTGAGGAAGAAGTAGGATGTGGTAGGAGGCAGGGTGTATAATGGGGCATGGTGTGGTAGGGGGCAGCGTGTGGTAGGAGGACAGCAACATGGAGTGGGATTACCCATGATCGCCACATTACTTGTGTGATAACGCCAAACACCCGTCATATATCTGAGGTAGTGATTCCCCGCCCAGTTATCTGTGGCATGGGGAAGGGGGGACGCACCACCTGTAAACAACTTACATTCTGTTCTCGGTGATGCCAGCATCTAGAGGTGCAGTAACTCCGTGTGGTAATAATGTTCTGCAACATTACTGACGTAATACACCACCTGCAATAACCTGACGATAACGATAGCAGCAACTGCTTCTAATCTAATACTATATAAAACTCCAAGTGGAGGCAAATTCCTGCTATAATTTGCATTAAGAGCAATTCTCTGTAATAACTTTTTATGGTATGAGCTTTCAGGCTAATAATTAGATTTATCGCCTCATCAGCCAATATATCCCCGCCAGTGATCTCTACAGTGGTAATATGAGGCTCCACCTCATCTGTCTCACCCGACAATAACATAAAGCGGGTACTCGCTTATCTCCTTTCTCTTTATGCTTGTATTAAACGGCAGTGAATTAGTCAAGCTTCTTCTCTGACTGGCTGTCCCCCTCTTTATCATCAGTCCTGAGTGTAGTATCAGAATCCGGGCACCAGTAACAGCAGAAGCGGCTGAGAGTTGAGTATTTGGTTTTGTTTACAAGTCAGCGGGCAGATACGTGTGAGATAAGGCAGAGATAACACTTGTTTAACACGTCTGGTCGCCCGCACTCACAGCACTCCGGTGGTCCGTCCTTATCATGCCGGCTGACGGACGACTTGCTGACACGCCCTCATGACAGACGACCTGCTAACACCTGCACTCATGACGGATGACCTGCTGACACCTGCCTTCAAGATGGAGGACCGGCTGATACATGCTTTCATGGCAGATGACTTGCGGACATCTGCTTTCAAGACGGATTACCTGCTGACACCTGCCCTCATAATGGACGAGCTGCTGACACCAGCCCCCATGATGGACGACCATCTGACACCTGCCTTCATGGCGGACGACCAACTGACACCTGCCTCCTCATGGACGGCCTGGTGACACCTGCCCTCATGACGGACGACCATCTTGACACCTGCCTTCATGACGACGACATGCTGACACCTACCTTCATGACGACGACCTGCTGACACCTGCCTTCATGACGGACGACCTGCTGACAACTACCTTCATGACGAACGACCTGCTGACAACTGTACACATGACGGACGTCCTACTGACACTTGCCCTCAATGCGGATGACCTGCTGACACCTACCCTCATGGCGGATGACCTGCTGACACCTGCCCTCATGAAGGACGACCTGCTGACACTGGCTCAAGATGGATCAGATCTATCACCAGTTTATAACTATAAAAATTCAGGGTGGCTGGCATCACAGGTGCTTCACATATACGGCGTGTGACAGGGACCTAATGGTCTATCACTTCAGCTTTGGTAAATTTGAAGAAAAAATATACTTACGAGCATGCGTATATACACTTATATAAACATATACTGTCACTTAATTATGCTACACAAACACACACATATATATATATATATATATATATATATATATATATATATATATATATATATATATATATATATATATATATATATATATATACTTCATTTTTAGTCCATATAACACGCGGACTTTGAACATATAATCAACAACCTCACCAGCCAGGACTCGAACCCTCGACCTACTGTGTGGGACCAGGGAACGTTACCGACCATGCCACAAGGACAATAAAAGCAGTTGGCTGATGGCGCCGTGAACCTCCCACTGGGAACTGCCCGTGCCGCTTATGTGGATGTCAGTAGCATTTTACCTAATCCAGCTGGTATGAAACACGAGGTATCATATATACTTCATTTTTAGTCCATATAACACACGTTGTCCCACACAGTAGGTCGAGGGTTCGAATCCTGGCTGGTGAGGTCGTTGATTTTTTATATATATATATATATATATATATATATATATATATATATATATATATATATATATATATATATATATATATATATATATATATATATATATATATATGTAACGAGTCGGAATTACTGGACTTTAATTTCTCACTTGACTTGGGGTTTATTAAAGATTATTAGATGGTAATTGCAGTGGAAGCGCCCCTTTGAGAAAAATCCCGAACAAGCACAAGAACACTTAAATCTACTAAACAAAATGAATTGTCCGTGACCAGTGGAAGGATAGCGTCTGTGACTGGGATGAATGAGACACACTGTAAAATTTAGACACTACGATTCCCTCCAACACTACAGACACAGTCAAATAATGGTACACCAATATGCCCACCTCTTAACCTGAACTTAAAACACTACTCTGGGGAATAAAAGTTACACATGATATTGAAATTATTAGAAACTCAGACAATGCCTCATTACCCAACAACAAATTTAAAGTATTAAGAAATGTTGCTTGCACACATGAGCCAGGCCTTAAGGGCTTTCAACAAAATATCAATCACTGAGAAAATGGTATTAAAAAAATAAGAAATTAATAGCTCTACAATGAATAGGCCTTAAGGGAACTCACCAAAATTATATCCAGCACTGAGAAAATGGTATAAAAAAAATAAGAACTTATCAACTCCACCCTGAATAGGCCTTCAGGGCACTCAACAAAATTATATTACCCCAACAGATGCACACTTCCTAACCTAACTTAAACTCTACTCTGGGGAACAGGGTTATACCTGAGATCGGAATTATAAAGAAAAATTAAATGCATTAAAGGAACTAAATCACAGTATCACTCGCAACATACAGAAGAAACTCATCTGAAAACCAGTTCCCTCATTCTCTGGTTTCAATTAGTGACACCACATTAAAAACAATACTATCAATATTATTTAAGAAATATTAACTACACACATCATACATCAGTAACTGAAAAAATAGTGTT